TATATATACATATATATATATATATATATGTATATATATATACGTATATATATATAGAGGCAATACCTAGTTATACAGCACAAAAGGTAAACTTTGACTCTCACAGATTCATTCTGTGGATGGATAACAGCCCAAGGAAGTCCAGAGGTTTGGGAGACAGGGGTTGTACAAAGCTGATGGAAATGAGGGACCTGGGTGTAAAGAATGATTTAAGGAGGTCTGGGTCTCTTGCAGTGACCCACATAAACAGAGATAAAGGGCATAATAATAAGACTAGTCCTCATGGTTTCAAGGCAGTTAGGATGGTGATGATCTACAGCTAAGGACCCCTAAGGTGGAGCTGGTTCATTCGGATATGGATTACTCTATTTTGAGCTTATTTATATCCATATGTCCCTATCTAGACTCCAGAGTTCCACAATGGCAATATTGGATGCTAAATTAACTTCTGTTTTTAGAAAAATCAGGTATTTTATTTGGGGAGTTATTTGCTAAATTCAGACCAGCTAAGAACTAGGACTCCTTGGAGAAATGGTTGACTCCAGAGCTGAGGCAGAGAAAGGAGATGAGCCTGGAATATCTTGTTGTGCCAAAAAGTAAAAAAAGGGCTCAAAGAATATTGGGACTATGTCAAGGGACACAGGCACCAGCTTGAAAATACCTCAGTTCTGGCGCAATTTTACCATCAAAATAAGTGATAACAGGAATGCATTTCCTAATACAATAGGAAGCCATATTAATATAAACAAATAAATGCATAATTAATGGATAAAGGAGAATTCTATCTTACAGTAGAACACTAAAAATCGTAGAAGAATAATGAAATTAAAAAAAGAAACAATTTGGCTTTTACCATAGTAATAAATGATTCAGGCAAGAATCATCAATCCATGTTAAAATTGATGGGTAAAAGTGGTAAAGAACAGGATATTTACATGGTTTTAAAGTATCTCCTCATAAAACTTATGAATTGCTTAATATTCTGTAAGTATCAACTACAAATTAATTTCAGAATGAAGAAAGCTGGAAACCATCTTAACCAAGTAATAAGTTACCACACCAGGAATAGGACAAACTGACATCTTGTACCCTCTGGTGGGATGCCTTGAGAAGAACACAGCATTTTAAGTATTCTTACAAAAAAATGAATCAACCTTGAGGAAAATTAGACAAAATTTGTCTAATTTTCTTAGATTTGCTAAGTACAAAGCAAATCTAACTGCTTTGTACTTTTAAAAATATGTCAAAGTCAAGAAAGACAAGAGGGCTGAAGAGTAATTTCAGGTGGAAGATCGCCTTCTGAAGCAGTTCAGCTTCTCTAAGTGTACACAAATCATGGGACATTCACAACCCTCTGAGGCTACTCATACCATTCCTCTTTAAACTGCTACCAGATTCCTATAGTTTTTAGCTAATGTCCCTTTTCTTTTCCAGGATCCCATCCAGGTTGTATGCATTCTTTATGGTGAAGTTCATATCAAATTATTCATTTTGGCAAACCAGTATATTTTCTGTATTCGATATAGATAGTCCATGGTGTTTTGCAATCTATTTTTTTTTTATCCTAAGTCTCAATCTGGTTTATTTATCTATTTTTTAATTGCAATGTTAGGTCTTTGTGCAAAGATACAAGGTACATCAGGATTGTAGGTTAACAGTTGCATAGTCAAGATTTATTTTACCTGTATGTTTTCGAATGATTTATGCCAAGGCAAGTATGGATATGTATTATGATGATAAAACTCCATTTCTTAAAAATTTGAAATTTACTTCAATTTACTTTCTCAAGAATTTTTAATTTTGTTTTATTAACTACTGCCTGCACCTTTGGTAATCCTGTTCATTACAATCAGTCAACAAATCAAACAATCAATCAATCAACAAATAAATAAATGGAATTTTGTTTTGGGGGGATCCAAGTCTCAGGGACCACATACACATACCTCCTGCACATAGTAGAGGTCAGGACTGTCACCACGGACTCAGTGAGAAATGAAGGCCAGGAGAATTTGATGGTCAAGACTCTGGTCACTAGAATCTGAGTTATTCAACTTCAAATCCCAACTCTCCTCTCACTTGCAACCTAACTTTGGGCAATGACTCAACTGTCTTAAAATTCTGGAAAATGGGGACACACATCTGCCTCATTGGACCATTATATACAGAATAATGAGATAAAGCATATGAAGCAATTAGCAGAGTCCTAATATATAACAGTGAGCCTTTATAAATGATGTTGACTGCTATTATTACAACATATACCCAACTGAAACCTCTATAATACAAATGAGCTGGGGAACATCTAAGCCTAGTGTATACAGAATAGCAAAAATCAGGTTGTATCAGTCCTTCATTTAGGAATGTGAGCCACACTTTACTTCTTTCCCCACTTTTGCAGCCCCACTTTTGGTGGCTGCCATCAACATTTTCTTTCCTCAATGCAGAAATCTCACTCTGAGTGCTTATGGTACGTGACCATGGTACCCACATTCTTGAATCAAAGCACTGTGTCCTCACAAACACCTTTCTCAAACTCAAAACAAATATTGACAGAATGTGGAAGGTAATGATAATGAAGAAACATACAGACTACACTGTAAAGAAGGCTCTGAACAACAAAAACAATCGAGTTTGGGGAAGAGAGTAGGAACAAAGAGGTTGCTTGAAGCAACAGAAATTAAGACTGATAAATCACTTTTCTTTCTGATGTAGGCTCACCACCCACAGCTAAAATACTCTCTGCAAAACCATGGCCACTGTCTATCCTCAAAGATGCTATTTCCTCACTCAGTACCCATCTTCCTTCTTAGAAAACTTTACTTCCCTTATGATTCTTACCAAGTTTGCACTGAATACAAGGTTATTCATGATCAACTCTCCATACCACTTGTCAGTGTTGGCCCTTATAGAATTCCTTATTAGTCCAAAAATAATTCATTGAGCCCCACTATCAACGTACTACTACCTATGCAAAGTGCAGCAAAGTTCATAAAGATGAGTAAGATGGGAGTTTTTACCTTAAACTTAGCTCAAACTAGTCAACAAATGAAGGTTCGAGGGTCAAATCTGGCCAAGGCCTCTTGTTACATGTTGTCTATGGCTGCTTTTTTCCCCTAACAGCAGAGTTGAGTTGTTGTAACAAAGATTATATGCTTTCCAAAGCTTAACATAGCTACTACCTTGGCCTTTTACACAAAAAGTTTGCCAAACCTCTGAATTGGGAGATGCAAGTATAACAATAATACCCACCTTTACTAAATGCCAATTAAAAGGCCATAAATAAAGAGTTTTAAGAGTTCAGAAGGTTGGCCACTTTCAACAGGGCCATTTTGAGAAAAGTTTTCAGAGCCAATAGACATAGGACTCAAAGAAAGAGAATGCAGATGGGTTCAACACTTCATAACAACAGAAAGTGATAAAAACATGTGAAGCACAGAAAAAGCAAGAGAAGGATGGAGCTTCCAGCTCATGTGGGCATCAAGTCTCTAAAGATGATTTGCAGAGGCCCTTTCATCTTTTCTGGTTTTCAAGTCAGCACGTATGTTTTACACAAACCAAACTCCATGTGCCTCTAAGGATGTCTCCCAATTACGTGCTTGCTATCCAGCTGGTAACCTCATTCTAAAAGGGCAAGCTCACAGATAATGACGATGTGGTGACAAACAGATGTTGTAATTGACTGTACTCTCTGAAACAGTGCCTCAATTTAACCTTCTAATCTTTCTGTCATCTGATATTTAATATTTATTCAAATATTATTTACTCAATGGAAGAATGAGACATTGTTTTTCTTCCAAAACAAAGTCACATGTGACTATGCAACGCATTAATTTGTAGAGATTATTAGTGTGTTACTCTTCTATTTTCAGATGTGCCATTTTCCCAAAGTTCCACGAGGAAAAAGGCTAGATGGATTAGCAGGACTTTTAGTCTTAAAAGACAAACAATTATCAGAAATAATAATCAATAATTATTATTAAATACAAACAATAATCAGGAAAGATATATTATATTAACAAGTCTAGGAGAGCTATTTCAAAAAGCTTTTGAAAAGTAAGTTTACATCAAAAAAGTATTTATTGCAGAAAGACAATTTATGCTTACATGTGTATGTAAAAATATCTTGGGCTCAATACTAACAGCTGTGTCATTGTTATCTTTTGGCCAGTGACTCAGATTGACATATTTGCATGTCTTGATTCATGTACTTACAAGCTAGGAGAACTGTGAACTAACCATAGTTTTCAAAAAAGATATATATTTAAAAATGAGAGAAAATGACTGTCTTATTTGAAGTATATGCAATTGTTGAACTTTTGTAAAAGAATGAGTCACAATATGTAAACCTTTAAGTACTGTAGATTAGGCAAAAACAAACATGAGCAGGGGAGAAAGAGGGGGAAGAGAAGGAGGGAGAAGGGAGAGACACAACAAAAAAGCCTTCTTAAGTGAGACAGTCCAAATTCATAACTGCTGTCTTGGTGTGAAGAGATGATTAAAAAAAAAAAGAAAAAAAGAACATTTCAAACGCAGAGACTAAAATGTTTTACTATTTCAACATAAAATTCTTCCAGAACTCTCAAAGTATATACATGATCCTGGAATAAATTTTTCACTTCTTAGCTTATTAACAATGTGTACATTTGAAAATAAATATGTACAATATTTCAAAACAAACCCTTCAAGACAATTTAGACAGGGACATCCAAGGAAATTGAATTCAGGCACCATGTAACATTTAGGATATATGGTATCTTGAAGATTAAATGTTCTCTTCCTTGTTACTCTGAAGTCTTCCTTAGACAGAGGTTGCTTCTAAAGGAGTTCTCTTAAAGAGCCAAACATTTTGAGGTGCCAAACCCAGTTTCATTTTCTCCAGTACTATGAAAATTAAAAACAGATAAACAAGTAGTAATTAACATCAATGTTCACAAAGAAAGACAACAGAGTCTATAGTTTTTTAAAAAAATGCTTAGTTTTGTCATGACATTTTTAGAGACTGTGAAAACCTGTTGCTTATTCCACTTCATTGAGTGCAACCACTTTATTCCAGTACTGAGCTGGAATCAAATCAAAGAAAGTAGTCCTGAAAGAACAAGGAAGCCCGGTCAAGAGTTGTTTGGGGGCCAACATACAAACAGTGTTTGATTTTAAGATACCAAGTAAAAATAAAAGAAAACAATGCTTTTATCACCTATTTTTGTTACTTTTCTTCACAGTTACCTCAATATGGCTGATAAAGAGATCTGTGACAATGACCCTCTTTTCATTTTCTCTCTACATTAGCATTCATTGAAACTGAGAGGATCTTACTTTTGAGAACTACTAAGCAAAAATAATCTGTAACAGTTAACGGTTGTCATTAACACTTACAGATGCCACCAACCACCACTTTCTCAGCACAAACAACTCTCCCTGTTGGGCGAACATACACTGAGTCATCCATAACTCATGTGCCATCTTATTCAATAAAATAGATGTTGGCCATTATCTCGGAGGAAATAAGAATGCTGTACATGGGAAACAAAATCTTGTTTCCGTGAACTTCACCTCATTATTACTCTGATAAAAAACATGAGGGGGAAAAAAACTCACTGACAAGTATTTGTGGATGTGGATGTGCGTTCACATATATGTGTAAAAATGTCAAAGATGCTGACTGATTTTGGTCTGATATGATTTAGGGTGGCAATCCTAGTAAGAATATGATAACATTCAGCTTTAATGCTAATACGAGGAATGTAATTTCTGATTTAAGAAGCTGCATAGGGGGCACCTGGGTGGCTCAGTCGGTTGAGTGCCTGACTTTGGCTCAGGTCGGGATCTCGTGGTTTGTGAGTTTGAGCCTCGCGTCAGGCTCTGTGCTGACAGCTCAGAGCCTGGAGCCTGCTTCGGATTCTGTGTCTCCCTCTCTCTCTGCCCCTCCCTCTCTTGTGCACTGTCTCTCAAAAATGAATAAATGTAAAAAAAAATTTTTTTAAATAAAAAATAAAATAAAAAGAAGCTGTATAGGGGCACCTAGATGGCTCAGTAGTTTAGGCATCCAACTCTTAATCTCAGCTCAGGTCTTGATCTCAGGGTTTTGAGTTTAAGCCCCATGCTGGGCTCCATGCTGGGCATGGAGCCTAGTTAGGGAAAAAAAGAAAACAAAACGCTGTTTGAATATTTTCAAGAAGATGGTATCAGAGAAAATCAACTTCTCAAATGGTCCTGGGCACTTATATAAAATCACATACATTTATTTGGTGCCTACCATGTGCCAGGAATGCCTCAGGTTGTGTGAGAGTCCCCAAGTTACTTAAGACAAAAAAAAAACAAAACAAAAAAAAAAAAAAACCTGAAGACAAAATGCTCATAGAGAGAGTCACCACTCATAAACACACACAAGCACATCCAAAAGTTGGGCAATGGTTGGGGAACTCATTCCTGGCAAAGAGCAAAGAGGTAGTGCTTGTGAGGGTTTGGGGGGAAATACTACGTATGGGAAATTGTCATGGGGGTAAATCATTAGAGTATAATACAAAAAGGACTCTTTTTAAGGCTGGTAGAAAATGATTAAAGCTGAAAATGCAGGTTAGAGCCAAATTATGAAGGGTCCTCACCTGTTAGGAAGTCTAAATATCCTGAAAACGATAAAAAAACCACACAAGTGTATATATGTGTTTGTATGTGTGAGAAAAACACTGCTACTGAACAGTCTATAATATATCTCCTAAGTACTTCAAAGTGTCTCTGTGAGAAAAAAGTTAGTAATACTACGTAGCAGAGCCAGTCCCAAAATATTCAAACGCCCTGTACATTTGATGAATTTATAAAAAACAGTTAAATGTAACCAGAAGGGCAGAAAAACAAGGTTACGACGACTAACCTTCCTAAAAGCAGTTAATGAAACAAACAGACAAATCTCACCGTGGATGATACTCAAGTGTTTAAAAACTTTCCCCGGAGAAGAAATTAAGAATTTAAATTAAATTAAAGGAAATTAAATTTCTACAGATAAAAAGTAAACTGCAGGGCATTTTAGCTGAAAATTCTGGGGCATTCTGCTGACTGTTGCTATTATAGTAATTAACTGATCTTAAGACTTTAAAACATTTGGAATGCAGCAAGCTCCTCTAGTAGGTTTTTAAATGTCACAGGTTTTGGGGCGCCTGGGTGGCGCAGTCGGTTAAGCGTCCGACTTCAGCCAGGTCACGATCTCGCGGTCCGTGAGTTCGAGCCCCGCGTCG